AAGTAGCCCAGGGAGTTGTAGCTGTCGCCCAGCTGTTCCAGGAGACACTCTAGACAGCTGCATTCCACAGGGCCCTGGGCTGGAACCCGGAGTAGAGGGCGGGCCCGGGTTCCCCCCAAACCTCCCAACTCCTGGTCAGACACAGGAGGAGTTGGCCTGGACTGTGGGTTCAGAAAAATGGCCAAGCTGAGGGCTGCTGTGAAGCTCCAAGGCGAGCAAATCCACCAATAAGCGCAAGACCCACCAAGGTAGAGGAGGAACTTTGTCACACCATGGTTGGTTGAGGCTCCAATGATCATTCTGTTCTCTTTGTAAAATATGAGTCCACCTGCCAGTATTCTTTTTAACATAGTAAATTATTTTGAGATAGTCCTCTCCTGCACACATCTAAGCTTCCTTGGCTGTATAGCTCTTATCCAAAGACTGTGAATTCAGATCTTTTCCTATTTGTGTAGTGGTGGCTGTTCTTGCTAGGTCAGTGGCCTCCCATTCAGACATAGATCCAGTTGTTAGAAATATCAGTTTTACTGTTGATATTTTTGATTGCATGGCAGAGAGTATTTAGATAACCCTAACGTGGAAGAGCTTTCTCCATTACTAGCAGCATATGTTTGGATTTATGTATATCCTTAGTTTCCGAATCCGAGCAGTGCCTGTCGAATACAGAGATGGCTGGCAGCCTAAAGCTTATTTTACTTACACAGAACATCAGACTGGGGGATATGGGGAGGCAAACACTATAAAAAGATTTTGTTAAGCACGTGGTTAATTTTTTTGGATTGGAATGCTGCTATGCTCTGTCATATCTATGACACTTGTGGTTTTCCCCAAGTTTAGATTTACAACTCTATACTATAAAAAAACAGAAACCTTGCATTTCATAATATCATTTCTTAACTGATATTCAGTTGGCAAAGAGTCATATCTGCAAGGGAGTCTGAAACAACAAGAACACAAAACCAGTTTCTGTCATTTTGAATGTAATAATTGCTTGAAAGGATAACAGATTATAGTCAACCCAAATGTCAAGTTTGTAGAGTCTTCATGACATGAGAGAATGCTGTCAAGGACAGAGTTTTTGGCTAGCAGCCAGCAGTTAGAAGATCCATTCTAGTTGCCAGTACATAACATGATGAGCATAACACAACCACAAAGTGTTTTAAGGTAATCTGGCCAGTAAAGCATTGCTTTACCAAAGGGTGGTCTCTGAATCAAATACAGCCTTTGGCAAGACTTTTACCTTAAAATTGAAACCAGACATGTTTTCAGTTCATTTTTTGGGTTACTACTGTTCAATGGTGATTTACAAGAGTGTGTGAGCTATGACAATCTCTCACGCAACTTCAGATATGCCCTAAACGAATGCACATTTAGAAATCTCCTTGCTGTAAAACAATAGCTTCATAAGAAAAATAATATTTAAAGAGAAATCTCAAAGAATGCTCTGGTTTCTGTGCCCAGCAGCCTTTCCCTGGCAATCGTGAGCACTGAGGAACTATTCTGCAACACATATTGCAAACAGCTACAGAAGCAACAAAAAGATGGAACTATATGGTAAAGCACAGCTCTATTTCTGATTTATCCAGTGCATTCAGAGGAAACAAACCACCATTGCTCAGTGACATTGCCAATGAGATTGAGCTTCCAAGGGACATTCTGGTCTTTCCATTTTTTAAAATCTAGTCTAAAAACAGGTTGTATTCAGAAGGCAGCCATGTGCAATTCATCTTTATTAATTAGTAGTTGAGTTACATAGTAAAGGAATATTCTCACCAATGGAAAAAAGTTGTTCTACCTATAACATAATTTGAGCCCATTTGCTATAATCTGGCTCAGTACTACATCCTCAGCAGCTGTAAATTTCTGTAGCTCCATTGAAGTCCTAATTTACACTTGCTAATTTTTTATTCTGAATAAAGGGAATTAGATATTGGTGATGCTACAGGTAGTGACAGGACATGGTACTGGACACAGTGTGGGACACCACTACGCTGTGCCTGATTTTGGCCACCAGGAAAGCACTGGCTGGAGACTTGATTCACCCTCACAGCCTCAGATCTGGAAGCATGAGTCAGGGGGTTCTACTTTATTAGTGGTGAATCTGCAGATTGCCTGGATCCAAGAACCCACCTGAGAGACCTTTCTTCATTCTAACTATGACTTCGAGTTGGCCTCCAGATTGAGTTCCCTGATGGAACTGGTGAAGACCCTGGCTTTGAACGTTCCTCCCATGCCAAAAAGAGACAGATGCCTTAAAAAGAGGAGCTAGATATGTTGAGCCTACATGATCCAAGAGGCCTTGACAGTGCCGCGATACATCTAGATCTGGATCGTTTCCTATACAATAAGGAGATTGACTCTGTGCACTTAGATATTTAATGCTTTTATGAGACTTCTTCCTTAGGGAGTCTGAGTGTCTGAAAAAGAGGGTTTTTTTCCAGAGAGGCAGCTAAGAGCGTTCATAACTCACAGTACAATGAGTGGACTACCAGCTGGAAAGATTTCTTCTTTCCTTTGGAGATGAATCTGACAATTTGAGACTCTTCAATACAGAAGGCCAAGTGGATACAGCCTCCTCTAAGAGTAAGCTCTCAAAGACTCCTCCCACTGCTTTCTTGCACTGAGACTAAAGACCACACTGGTGAGAGTCTTTAAATAGAATGCCTATCTCCTACATGAGGGACAATGTTTGGAGCCTGAGCACTTTTCTGGATTCACCGTGATATATCTTCTTACTATATGTTCCAGTCTATGCATCTGATGAAGTGGGCTGTAGCCCATGAAAGCTTATGCTCTAATAAATTTGTTAGTCTCTAAGGTGCCACAAGTACTCCTGTTCTTTTTGCGGATACAGACTAACAGGGCTGCTACTCTGAAACCTGTCCTGATAGGAACCTACACTAAGGGCTAATGGAAACATAACTTTATTTTAAAATGTCAGTATTTGAATACAAACGCTATCTACCAATAAACCTTCTGCTAACTGCAGAGATTTTAATTTACCTGTGCAATCAAGGAGGAGATAATGGTCCCAGTTCTGCCACAGGTTGATTTGTGCATGCCCCCTCTGTCACAGTTCAGGGCAAATGCACTTGTACTCTCCTTGCATGGTCTACCAAGGGCACCCACTCTAGGTTGCTGGCTCTTCAGCCATCACCTCTCTCGGGTAGAAACCCACATCTCTCTACCTCCTGAAGGGCTTTTTCCCCCCCCAGGCTGCACAGTTCCCTGCCTACACTCTGACGTTCCCCGCAAGCCAGACTGCCTAACAGGCCAGCATCTGTGCTTAGCTTTCTCTCCAGAAGCAACGAACAGCATAATGGCCGGCAGTTATAAGTTACCACATTACTCTTTCTAAGCAAGCACATTTATTCTTAAGGTGAAAGCATTACAGAGAAGACCTATTAAGAACAATACAAGCACCTATGTGCAAGCTTTAAGACTTATGAGAGGTCACCCCAACTCCAACCTCGGGCTCTATTAAGTGTCAGTCCTTCAAAATCCACAACTGAGTTTTTCCTGTGGTTACAAGTTCATAACCATCTCTCATGCAGAACCAGAACCCAGCAGCCATTTCTTTATACAGTTTGGGCATTTGATCTTGGCCTTTGGTAATAGGTAATTGGCACACACAGACCTTCTCCTCAGGGCATAGCTTCAAAAGGCAGGGTTTTTGCAAAACCGGAATTAGGGAATTTGTATTTACCTGTTCCTAGATATTCCCCAGGAAAACCACTTAACACTTTTATTCCAAAGGTCCGTTCTTGTCTGACACATTGTTCAGTATAGTCCATTGAAGCCCCAGATCTCACAACTGCCACCTCTCCTGCCTCGAGAGGTTACATACAATCCCAGCCAACAGTAATACATAAACCATTCATTTAATACAGTGGACCTCAAAGATACTTAAACCTAATTCAATAAGGTCTCCCCCCAAAATTACCATATCTGCCCCTAAAGTAGTGGATGTAACTAGAGTGCTTGACCAGCCTTCTAAGGGAACCCACTGAGTGGATGCCATTTCTAACATGACCTTTCATAAGTTCACATTGAGCTATTTCAACTGTAAGTATTCTGCTAGCAAGCCAGCATACATCATATGGAATTGTTTGACAACCATCCTGTATAATTTTTCTTTGGAGCCTATGGGGCAGAACTCTCACATGCCCCTTCTTACCCTGGTTACCCCCAAACCTTTTGAGTGTGAACTTGAGACCTGGGCCTCCCAGTCCCACCTCCCATCTGGTTTCTAGGGAGTGTATGTGGTGCCCTTTTTGTCTCTGAAGGGGTTGGCTGCCCCAACAATGGGTTGACATACCCCCACGGTGCCCCAGAGGTATGACTAGCAACAATTCTTTGGACCAAAGGGAGAAATAAGGTAGGCTGCCTTCCTGTGAGGTGTATCTCACCCATACACTGCTTTTTAACAGCAGAGGGGTCAGGCAACGGAACTTCTTCAAACCTCACATTGACTACACGGTCAGGGCCTGGGGACTCTGGTGGCCTAACCTCAGCTTCTGTGAAGGGAGTGGGAGGATCACTGTTTATATTAGAGCTGGTTTAAAAATGTTTGGCAAAAATGTTCTTTGAGCAAGATTTCTCTTTCTTATTTAAAAAAAAAATCTTATGGACTCAAAGGGTCAGACCAACCCTTAATCTTCATAACGTGATGCTAAAGCACCTTGCAAACTGCATGAAGAGTTGTCTATCACTTCATACACCTTGTAATTGTTTTTGGACATTCTTTGTAGAACATACATAAAATCATCAAAACTAAAACTATAATAAACACTTTGGTTTGAAATCCCCAAACAGTATTAAAACAGAGCTTTTAAAAAGTGTTGATTATAGCAAAAAAAAATCTTGACCCGGAAGCAGTTTAATATAAATTAAAAATTACAGAAACAAACTTAAATCTTGTAAATTTCTATTTTTTTCCTTTTCAATTAGGTACCTGTTAATGAATAATTGTAACATGGAATATTTTCACTTTATTTTAGTTACGTCCTTTAAATTGTACCAGCGTGCTAAGCACGTGTACAGCGAAGCTGGCAGAGTGCTGGAATTTAAGAAGATATGCAGTGAGGCACCTGCCAGTGCACTCCAGCTGCTGGGAGAATTAATGAACCAGAGTCATATCAGCTGCAGGGACATGTATGAATGCAGCTGCCCTGAACTGGATCAGCTGGTGGACATCTGCCTGTAAGTTTTGACAGCAATAAACCAAGAACTCCTCTTTGAGAATATGGTTTGAATAGATGAGAAAACGTGACATCATTAGCTAGTGTAGTTTTAAAATGAAAGAAGAATATTCTTGTCTCTTATCACCAAATTAATCTCCTAAGGGACTTTATATAGTCAAATGTTTCCCTGCTGACATCTGAGTAATGCTTGTCAGATGAAAGCTGCACTTCATGGCTTCATGATGGACTCTACTTCATCAAAAAAAATCTCACAGTAAATGAAGTTGGCTACTACTTTTTTAGGTTTTAGAGTTCATGATCAGATTTCTTAATGTCTTCTCAGTTACTACTTTTAGATTTTATTTCTCCTTGCATATTCCTTAACCATTTCACTGCTGACAACCGCTAGAGCTCCAGGACTGTTAATGCATTCTTTGATCTAATGTTGCCTTGAAATCACAATGGAACATCATGGACTAGCATTTGTTGATGCTAAAAGTACATTTTGTCCAATGCAACTGATATACTAGGCAGCAGGAAAGTGGTTATATATTGAATATGTTTTGGATGGACTATGGGGCTGACTAAGTAGAGCCAATGAAAGATCGCTGGCTGTAGAGTCTTGGCCCTATGCAAGGCATGAGCAGACATGCAGTTTGAAGAAGACAAGAAAAAGTAGAAAAAATAAAGGTCTGTCATTTTTAGTTAGTCACAACTAGATGGACACCGCTATGCAAGAAAAAATGTTCTGTAGCATAGAATCCAAAAAGAGAGAGAAGCTTAAATGCATACATGTAGTTAGGATTGTATTAAACTAAAATTATTGGGAACATTTTAATTAGATGGACCAAAATGTAATGTGGTGACTACCCAAGTTCCATCAGATTTCTTTCTAAATGACCAACAGAAGAAAACATGCGGAATGTAACAAGAATAACTGAACACTGAACCAGACTTCAGAGTATAAAATTATTTTTGGAACTACGTCCATTGTATGTGACAAAACTTATTTGTTCACCATTCACTCCATCCATAAGCAACATTAATGTATTTCAATTTTTTCTGGATTTAACATTTAAGGATAAAGAGTTTTGCAGCTACATTGTTACCTACAGTTGATTATGCAAGTTGATCGACACAAACTTTTATTTTATGGCCAAGATTTTCCAAAACTGACCAGTGATTTTTGGGTGCCACAGCTTTTAGGTGCCAAACTTGATACATCTTGAAGGGGCCAAATTTTCAGAAAACGCTGAGCATTTGTCCTCTATAAGGTCCCTTTAAGCGGTCTTAAATTGGTTACTCAAAAACAGAGGCACCAAACAATCTCTAGTCACTCTTGAAAATTTTGGCTAACATATTTAAGATCATGGGTCAGCAACTGCATAAATTATGTTGTCTTTACTTACAGTGCTGTACAGCTGCCATGTAACTTTAAAAACCTTTCCAAAAATACATTCCATAGCATTGCCTCCTCACAAGGTTTAAACTGTAGAGAATAATCTGCATATCCAGATGTTTTCTGTTTTGCCTAGATCTTTGTTTTAATATATACTCCCTGCCAAGAAAGAAAGAGATCCCTACTGACTATGGTTTGGAGCATTGAAAAGTTTAGCCACTAGTTGGTCAACTATTTTTGCAGAGAGAGAGTAGACTTGTACTTTCTGTAACCTGTCTGTCTCACATTGGTAATGGCTGTTTTTCCTGTTAGTAGTTTAAAGCAGAAGGAGCAAATAAAAGGAGAGATTTTTCAAAAGCACTAAAGAGATTTAGGGGCACAAGTCCCATTGGAAGTCAATTGGACTAGGGCTCTTAAATCCCTTTGGAGCTTTTGAAAACCTCAAGTCCCTAAACCACTGTGGATAATTTTCTTGCTACCCCCTATTCTCCATTTCTTAGTGGTATGTGTGCTATTAAATTAGCTGTTGTCAGCCTTGCCTCTGACAGCTAGAGAGGTCTTATTTACAAGAGGATACAAATTTTTACAGATGAACATACATTGCTGTTTCTCATGCAGATCTACTGTGTCAGTGTTACTAACTTTTGCAATTTTATTACAAGTCTCATCATAATTAGTGATTTTTCTTAAATCCACAGCTCCTGGAATCATGGAATTATGTGAGAATCTCAGCTTTTGTTTTAAAGAAAAGTTTGTTGCTCTCATGGTTACTGAGCAAAGTGTGAACATGTGACTCAAGTGCACCCTAGTCTCAAAAACCAGAAGACAGTTAAAAGAAAAATATATTTTTTAGACTCATGATTTTTAAGTATTCTGTTCTGTATCTCACAGCATTTGCAGTTAGTCAAATCTGCATTGATTTCAATGTGATTGGAAAATCTAATGGCTGCTGTGTCTTGACTGGCATGTCCATACTCCAAACCACATCTTTGCTGATTGTTTCCATCTTTGCACACACACACACAGCTGTGGACAGTTCTGAATGGGAATACGTCCAATACGCTGACCAACAGAGCGTTTTTTGCTCACCTTAATTTCCTGATTTTAAACTTCAGTTTGAATAAACAGTTCGTTCTTGCAGGTCCTCATATACATTCTGTTATGTAGCGCATATATGGGACTAAGTTTTCAAACTTGGGTGCCTAACATTAAGTGCCTAAATCCATCTTTAGGCACCTAAATAAGTAGCCTGAATTTCAGAGGTGCTGAGCACCAACAATTTCCAGTGACATCTGTGGGAACAACTGGTGCTCAGCACCTCTAAACACTGAGCCATTTGTGAGGTACCTCGAGATTTAGTGAGGTTCCTAATCTTAGCATCCAAATTTGAAAATGTTGGCCACATTATTTTGAAGCACAGTAGCTTCAGCTCTAACACACAACTCGTTTCGTTTTAAATGATCTTTTATTACATTTTTAAAATGACTAAGTATAACAGCAAATCATAGGATATGACCACAGAGAATTATTAAATTAAATGACTCAGAATAAATCTGAAGATATTTAAATGGCATTCCACAATACAAAGCCAACACTGTATCTGCAGTACAACACTTAAAAACTAGGTTGCATCCCAAGTGAATTTGAGCAGTTGATTTAGTTGCTTTAGAGAACTGGATTGAACCCTATGAAGGCAAGGGGAATCTTTCCATTGATTTCACAGGAAGATGGATTGGATCCTGCTTGATTTAAGAGGTTGCTTCTGTGGATCAGAGAATAAGAGCAGCATACAAAAAGAATTATGAAATTGCAAAGAAATAAAATAAAGATTAGAAATCAAGAATGAACAGATAATTGAGTCAATATGTAGGATAGTGCCCCTCAATTTAACACACACACATAGAGCAGGTCATGGATTCAGAAAAGCACACATATTCAAGAAAGCACTTAAGCATTAATTTCATTTAAGCATGTCTAGTGAATCACGTGTAGCTGCCTTCCTCAATCAGGGCATAGGTGCCGACTTCCCCTCTTTCCCGTGGGTGCTCGATGGCCCCCCCCCGTCTGCCCTCAGCCCTGCCCCGCCTCTTCCCACCCCCAATCCAACCCCTTCCCCCAAAGTCCCTGCCCCAACTCTGCCCCCTCCCTGCCCCTATTCCAACTCCTTCCCCAAATCCCTGCCCTGGCTCCGCCTCTTCCTCACTTCCTCCCCAGAGCATGCCACGTTCCCGCTCCTCCCCCTTCTTCTAGGAGCGTTTGGGAGCGGCTGGGTGGGAAGCGCTGGGAGGCAGGCGGAAGAGTGAGGATGCGGCGCACTCAGGGGAGGAGGAGGAGGGGCAGAGGGTGAGGGGAGCTTGGTCACCGGTGCGTGCAGAGCACCCACTAATTTTTCCCCTTGGGTACTCCAGCCCCGGAGCACCCATAGAGTCGGCACCTATCAATCAGGGCCTAAGCAAGTACGATCCTAGCACCTTGAAACATTAACATAGTGGTTTTCAACCTGTGGTCTGCAGACCATTAGCAGTCTAAAATTTCCAAAGGGGTCCACGCCTTCATTTGATTTTTTTAGGGGTCCGCAAATGAAAAAAGGTTGAAAAGCACTGGTTTAACATAAGTAATACACATGAGACGGTATCCCAAATTATTCAAAATTGGTCCTCATTCACTATTATATCATTAACATCATGCCCAGTTTCATCAGCCCTAGCCTGTGGTTGTCAATGAAGAGAATCTCCCAATGTGTAGACATTAGAAACATATCAAAATTATTTGATCTAGACAGTGGGTTGGAAACCTCATGACAATGGATTCTCTGGTGAGTTTTCTAGTTCATCCTGTTTTTGTGGCATTTTTGACTCAGAGGAAAACTTCTCATGGTGTTGTCCTGCTCCTTCTGGATTTGGCTGGAGCCAGGCAATGCAGACATGCATTCCCTATGTGGGAATTTTTCTCTTTAAGAACATTTAGAAATAAATTGTAATAAAATAACGTCTTTCTATATTGGTATGAAGAACTTGAAAACAACAAATGGAATAATAGAAAACAACCATTACTAGTGTGTTAATACAAACTAGTGTGGTATTTTGTCACATGAAAGACAGAAGGTGCACACTTAGGACCAGATTCTGATCTCAGTTGCACTGTTGTAAATCCACTCAAATCAAACAGCTTTCAACTACCTGAAGGGAGGTTCCAAAGAGGACAGAGCTAGGCTGTCCTCAGTGGTGGCAGGTGACAGAACAAGGAGCAATGGTCTCAAGTTGCAGTGCAGGAGGTCTAGGTTGGATATTAGGAAACACTTTCACTAGGAGGGTGGTGAAGCACTGGAATGGGTTACCTAGGGAGGTGGTGGAATCTCCATCTTTGGAGATTTTTAAGGCCCAGCTTGATAAAGCCCTGGCTGGGATGATTTAGTTGGTGTTGGTCCTGGTTTGAGCAGGGGGTTGGACTAGATGACCTCCTGAGGTCTCTTCCAACTCTATTCTAGGATTCTAAACCAGTGTAACCAAGGTCAGCTACCGGCTCTTAGGGTATGTCTATGCTACCCGCTGGATTGGCGGGCAGTGATCGATCCAGTGGGGATCGATTTATCGCATCTCGTCTAGATGCGATAAATGGACCCCCAAGCGCTCTCCCTTCAGCTCCAGTACTCCACCAGGGCGAGAGGCAGGTGGAGTCGATGGGGGAGCGTCAGCAGTCGACTCACCGCAGTGAAGTACGTCGACTTCAGCTACGTTATTCACATAGCTGAAGTTGTGTAACTTAGATCCAACCCCCCCCCCCCCCCCCCCCAAGTGTAGACCAGGCCTTAATTTTTGTTTTTAAGGCAGACCAGATGGCGGAGTGATGGGACTCTTAGTCTGACTTTTTTTTGAGTTTTGCAGTACTTTTCCCTTACTAGCACTGGAACTAGTCCTGCAGAAGTCCCTGAATCTTCAGAACATGTTATGTCTATACTGAAAAAGCAGAAATGTATAGTGTGCTGACACTGCCAAATTTGAAAATGTCTCATATGAACAGACCCATGGCAATTAGTGCATGAACTCTCCTTTATTTTTGTCATGTCCTCCTGTCTTAACGTCTGGTGTTTTAAGACTATTGCTACTTTCTTCACCTCAGCTATTTCAAAGTCTTTAAACATTCTGAGAGAGGCTTATTTTTGCACTTGATGGAAATAACTACATTGCAAAATTTAAGTTGTCCAAAACATTCAATGCACATAGAGTTCAAATGTCTCATTAGACCAAGTGTGCCTAGTGTGTTCTAGTTTTGAAAACTAGAAATAAATGCGTCCCATATTCACTGTGCTCTGTAGGCAGTTTATGTATGATAAATGATCTCCTTTGATATATTGCACTCAATTTTTTATTATTGTTATTATTGTAGGCAGTTTGGGGCCATCGGGTCACGCTTGACTGGAGCAGGATGGGGTGGCTGCACTGTGTCAATGGTGCCTTCTGACAAGCTGAGTACCTTCCTCACAAATGTGAAAGAAGCTTATTACAAAAGCAATGACCAAAGGTTAGCTTTGGAGAAGAATAGTCTGTTTGCTACCAAACCTGGAGGTGGAGCTTTGGTTTTTCTTGAGGCCTAAAGAATGTAAAAGTTTCAAAGAAACTATGTTGGGCATTTGGGAACTGGCAGGACTTCCTATGCCACAGTAAATTAATCCCTTTTCTGTTATGTATTATGAGCAGTTGCTATTATCAAGATACATTTCTGAAGAAACAATTAGAAGAGGTTTCTTAGGCTTTATAATACATTTTTCCATACTAAAAATATCCTTCCAGCAACAAGCAGCCTAAATACTTATTTCTCTCTGGATTATACAATGTAAAGGTCGATTTACTAAAATGTATTCATTTGAAAAATGGAACAAAGCAGACAATTCAAATAAAGAGGAATACTTTTCTTAAGGAAGTCTTTTTTTTTCTTACCTTGATATCAGTTAAAAAAAAAAGAAAGTGCAATTGAATAGAGAGTTATTTCACTTTATAAACCCAAATGAGGTAATACTCAACCCCTGCTTTAATGTGGGGGTTTACTCACTTCTTCCACTGCTGGATGGTTTCTTGTCCCGTGTTGCAAATTCCTGTGGAAAACAAAGAAGCAAACTGAACTGTTAAGGGAATTGCAAATGTTTTGCTGAACATTGAAACTTTTGTAGGATTCTCAATGAGGAAAATATATGCTATTTTTGCAGTGTAATATTAGAGTAGCGCCTGTAGACCTCAGTCAGGGATTAGGGCCCCATTGTTTTAAGTAGTCTGAGCTTGTTGCTACTGTTTAGAACGCAGTTAGCACAGTATTTTTACAACATTTGAGACAACTGCCAACTCTTTCCAAATCCTGAGGAAGCTGAGTGACAGGCTTCCTGGTTTCTTGGCCAGAGTGAGTGCTATCATAGCTATCATGAAGGCTGAAAGAGCTACTCAAGTCTGACTCCTCTCTTCCACTCCATAACTTTCTCAAAAATTTTCCTTCTAGGCTAAAGTTTCTCTTGCTTGGTCTTAGCCCAACAATGACATTTTGGATTTTAACAAAATATGTTCAACTATTTTTGAGTTGTGTATCATGAAAAAGATATTTCCCTTAAACTACCAAATAGCCAGGCAGACTTTATGGTGCTCAGACAACTCAAAAACAAATTATTGTTAATCTTTCTATGTGTTTGCAGAAATTTGGCTCACAAATGAAAAAGCTACAAATAATTGAAAGTTGCCTATTGACTATGGATAGAACTTAATTTCTTTTGTTCTTTGACTGCTCATTGAGGAAAAGATCCTCTCACCAATGCCAAACCAAAGTAAATGGGCTTGGTGGAGGGTTGGCCTCCCTGGGAGAAGGGGCTGTGGGGCTAGAGCAGGTCTTGCAGATACTGTTGGCAGCCTGAGGGCTGCAAGAGTAATAATTAATAACGTAGGATCGGCAATCATGCTCCCTCTCCCCCGCCGAGAAATGGTTAGTGGCTCCAGCCTAGTCTACCCATGCCTTATAGTGGCGAGGAAGGAGCCTCTAGGAAATTTTGCTCCATAGTATGCAACATTCTTGCTCCCTGCCCTGTGTAGTGGAACCTTGGAGGTTTTCTGGTGTTAGGACCCATGCAGTCTTGAAGGCCCTAGCAAGATTTGTCCTTGTGTATATCTCTAGATCTACACAAGTTTGACTACGGAGATCTGCATTCAAATACACATCTCTCAGAAGAGATGCAGTATGCATTATCCAGACTATCCCAGGTGAGGAGTGAGTTCTGGGATGCTTCTGACCCAGTGAAGGTGGGGTTCCAGATTTGAACAAAGAGGCCAACACATACTTCCAGACCTTCTCAGGAGTCTCACTGGGAACATGTAAGGGTAACATTAAAGGTAGGGACTTCTGTTCTTGGGGTGTCAGAAACAAACAGAACACTGGGGATCAGGGAAATAAGCTGATGGTTCTCTGAGGAAGAAAGACAAAGGTTTAAGTCAAGGCATCTGGAGAAGAGGAACAGAACAATGAGATTGTGGGGAGATGAGTTAGAGGGATCTGGTTGGTAGGAGGGCAATGAGGGATGTGGATAAAAGTAGGGAGAGAAGCAGAATTCCTCAGAAAGGTTCTAAGCTTAAAATAGGCCTCCTCTATGACTGCTCATATGAGCTTACATATGGGTTATATGCTATTAATGTGTAGCAAATGTAGAGATTTTCAGCCAGACCTGCAAACATGGCAGGTAGTTTATCTTGCCATTTCTGGAAGATTCCTCAGAGATCTCTAAGAAAGAATAATTTGGCATTTAGTTTCCAAATTACTTTTCTCTGATCTCATTTATTACCATGTTGCCAGAAACCTTTGGAGGAAATCAGTTATTATTTATTTTCCTTTTATAAGTACGTAACAGCCACCATAGCATATTATGCACTGTACCATTCAAAGGCCTGCTTTTCTAATCACTTTCTAATCATTATGTATGCCCAAGTCATCAGAAAATCTGGATCATATTTTTGAAATTTGGAAGGAGACAGGAGAGACTGTTCTTATTACTGCATTATTATAATTACATACCAGTTCATGCATTAACATATCTGCATTCAGCCTTAGTTCAGAGGGATTCTTGCAGGCGCTCTCTGTTAGTCTAGAAACAGAATAAACGATTTTTTTGCATCAGCAATATTTTTGTTAAAGTTGGGCATGACATTTTTTTTAGTTTCTGAATGTCCCCAAATATGTGGAAGTAAGTTTTTATGGTGCATCAAGCTGCAATAAGTTTCATAGTTGGGCTATCATTAAGTCTGTTAATAGATATCTTTATGGATGAAGTAATCATAGAATCATAGACCTATAGGGCTGGAAGGGACCTTGTGAAGTCCTCAAGTCCAGCCCCCATGCACTGAGGCAGGACCAAGTAAACGTAGACCATCCCTGACAGGTATTTGTCCAAACTGTTCTTAAAAACCTCCAATGATAGGGATTCCACAACCTCTCTTGAAAGTCAATTGAAGAGCTTAACTACCCTCATGGAAAGGTTTTCCTAATATCTAACCTAAATTTCCCTTGCTGCAGATTAAACCAATTACTTCTTAGGGAAACCCCTAAAATGTTGTAAAATGGTTAAAGCAAACCTTCTAAACTTCTGGTTAATTTCTTTTCTCCGCTTTTCTATTTCTGAAATATCTTCTCTACACTTATTCTGAAATCTGCAAAACCAAAATTGAGATCATAAAATTATTTAACTGATTTCAATGGGAATTCAAAAATACTCAAATTGCACACATAAGAAATGTACTCAAGCATTTTATGCAGTCACTTAAAAAATGAGAAAAGGGAATTTTTAAGTTTTATTTGTTATTTAAAAGAGAAGTTGATGAAACTTTATGGTTGGTATTTTAAAACTTCTCCAGTGATCAAAGAAACATAGCAGAAACAAACTATGTGAACATTAAGGGTTAGAAATAAAAATTGACAATGAGTTGGGCTTTTATGATTATAAGAAAGCATTGAGCTCTGTTAATTATTGAAATATGGGTGGTTAGGAGAGGGACCACAAAGAAGGGGAAAGTTATACATGTTTGAGGCCCATCCTGTTGCCTTACCTGTGAAGAAATCTCTGCATAACAATAATAGTAAAACTAAACATCCCCAAAGTGCTATGCAAACATCTAGTAAAGCAGCTACTACCCAGAAAGCATGAAGAAAACCTCAGTGTGGATGTGAGTTTCTGGCACGGCTCAGACTCCTGTATGTGCAGCGACCATGTTTAAAACAAGGAAGTCTTTCTAGAATCGTGTTTCCTTAAATCAGCTTTTTTTCTGACTCAAGGTGCAAAATATTTTCTGCACTTTTTTAGCTAAAAGAACTCAATGTACATATTCAAAGTAGTTTGTTTTTCAAAAAATAACTGAGAACTTGAGCAGTGGTAACGCATCCTAGTAGTATGCGTTGTAGTTATTGGTGCAATACGATGAATGGTTTTTATCTTAATATAATGGCTATGAATGTAACAGTCAATGGCTGCATAGTGAGTTTAATCCTACTGTGCAATAGAGATCTAAATCTTTCCAAAAAGGATTTATAGTAAAGATACTGCCAGACTTTTAACTGCAGCAGCATTGCCTGGTGCCATATTAATACTCTGTATTATCTTAATCCTATTGACAAGCACTTCTCCAGCACGGTAGTCACTGGTTTCATATCTTTTGCATGTGGGACCTGCTCTCGTTCCACTTTGGAATCAAGGGGAGTTTTGCCATTTACTTCAATGCGGGGAGGAGGTAATCAAATCTGTATTTTTGACATGTAGTATATATGTCAATCCAACAGACAGTAATTATTTACATACCATCTGAAGAAAGGGATAGTATCCAGACTGGTATCACTCTAATGCCCACATGTATTTTAAAAACTGCTTTAAACTTACACAGTATAATCCTCCCGGAATTCCCTTCTGAGCCTTCGTGTCTCTTTAATAACTTCTTGATAAGTTGGAGCAACTGGTGTGCTACCATTCCAGTCAAGTGAAAAGACTTCTATTTTCAGACATTTTGGGAAGTTAGTTGGTATGCTATATCCAATCAAATTTACAGAAGGACAAAATCAAACAAAGTTACCCCCAAAACAACATTCAGTTCAGATCAGTGTTGTTATAAAAAAAATTACAATAATCAAACATGACTAGTACTGAATTATCAGTTTACATATATGAAATGTATGCATCATCAGACAACTAAGTGAAATGAACTGTAGAAAGGATTCCTACTGAGAAATCAGAACCCACAAAAGCAGACTGTTATGGTTCAGCATTATTCACACTGTAAACTAAGCATGTGGAATATTCAATTACATAATAAAAGTTTATTTCATGACAGTTACAGGACTGGTTAATGGTAGGATGGCGCAATATAAAAAACTATGCCAAAGGAAAGGTGATATTTTAATTGGAAATTGGGCTCTGTGACATAATTACACTAAACCAGACTGATGGATATTCTGTGTGCTTGTGGTTGTCAGGCAGACAGAGGCAGCCAGTCACCCTGTCACAACCCTGTATTCTCAGCTCTTTTGTTTTAGCTATTCTCCTTTTGCCATTCCATTACCAATAACACAAAGACAAAAGATTATCCCTACCCTGGATCTAATCCCTTAATATGTGCCCTCTATTTCTGGTCTCATGTCAAAGAACAATTTTCAGGTAATGATCTTCATGTTCCATGAAGCCTGCACTTCTAGACGATAGTCTGATTGACCTTCCTTTGGATTTCTGTGTGGATTTTAAACTGTTAATTAACAAAGGAAAAAAATGAAATTACACTGATGGAGAGGGTCTGTTCATAAGAATGCAAGGAAATCTTCATAGCCTTCAGTTTATCCTTGGACTTCACCTCTGTCAATCAACCTGGTTCACTGCAGTAAGATGACAACTGCCAGGAAGCTGGTGGAAGCATTGATCTCCTCCATGTTGTAGGGCAGTGGTTCTCAACCCCCACCCTCCCCCGTATAACTATTTTAAAATGTGTTTTTAATTTAACACTATTTTAAAGTGATATTTGTACGTTTGTTAATAGCACTTTTCACAGCAGACTTGCTAGCTTGCTGGGAGGCGTACTAGCAACATCTACTTAATAACCTTGCGACCCCTTGAGGGGTCGTGACCCCCAGTTTGAGAACCTGTTGTAGGGCTTGATCCTGCCACTGACATCAGTACCCCCCCACGATGAGCTCCTTATTACAAAGGGACAGATTCTGCCACCCCTATTCACACTGAATACTACCCAACACCTTGCCAGTCTCATTTATTTCAGTGGGACTGTATTACTCAGCATGAATCTGGCCCTAATGGTCTGAATTGCTGTTTCACTCTAAAGTGATTGATAGTTTTTGTTAGACTTGCTGCTTCTGCAGAGATTTGTTCCTTGGTTTTACTTCAGTGGCTCTTAAGTACAGGAAAATGCCAAGATAGAAGGAAAAAAGAAAGCTTCAGTCCAAGCCCTTGGAAAGATTCCTGAGGTCTGCTCCAATGTTTTAAGCAGTAAAATCAGCAGATGAACATTCTCTCACTTGGGGTGAAATCCTGGCCTCCTTGATGTCAGTGGGAGTTTTGCCATTGACTTCACTGTAGCCAGGATTTCCTATTCAGTCCCTGGCACTCAGTACCTCGCAGTGCAAGATTCCTACCAAGAAAAATGTGCAAAATGAGAGTAAAAATATTATCAAGTGTGGCTGAAAGTATTAATCACCTTTCAGGTTCATTTATCAATAAAGTGTTCTCCTTAATCATTAAAATGTTATGGAAATTAAAAGTAAAACCTTGAGATTACTTGGTATTTAAGGATTGGTGGTTGATGTAGAAGCAAGAAATGAGATGCGTCAAACGCTTACTGGGTTTATTTACTAGATTTTAAATTGGAAAGAATCTCAGATAACAGGCAAAAAAATCTTTCTACTGCACCCCCAAATTAAAATCAATCAGATTATGTAACTTTCTCAATATTCATGATGAATTGATCTTGGCCAGGAGAATTAATACCTGGGAGACCATATATATTAATATTGAAGAAATAAAAAAGAAAATGTACCTTCTGTCAGATGATGATCTTGGCACTTCAGACACAAATAATTCAATACAAAAGTTACTTACAGCTGGAACACACTGGTGCCCAAGCAGCTGTCTTCTTTCCAGCCAAGTTGGGTGTGATTTTGGATGGGAATTAAAAATCTTCTCTTTGACAATGATCAAAACAAATGGTTTCTTGACTTCAAATTAGCTATTCAAGGGATCCTGAAGCAGATTTGAACACAAGTTGTAGTGCAGTTTCCATTGAAGCTATTATTAAAGACTTTCTCTTTGCCTGATTAATCTAATGAAGTTAATTTGTTTTCACTGTACAGCTACTTCCTGGTGCCCTAAGTGATCTTTTTAGATATGTTCTTTAACTCATTAACTTCTGTTTTTAGTCTTGGATGACAGACATCTTTAATTTTGTTGGTCATGCTGCTTTAATTTTTTTGTGATTTTTTTCATTGCTCAAATATCAATTACAGATCGAATTAAATTGTTCTGATTAATTGTTGGAGAACTCTTTTCCTTTCCCCTAATTGAATGTGTGTGATTAGAATCTTTCATTATCTTCCTTTCTTCTAACCTGTGTTTTCCCCTTCCTGTAGAATATTAAGAAGTGTTTATGGAATCTGATTTTTTTTAAAAAAAGCTTCAAACAAATATATGAATAAAAAATGCAAAATGATCACAGTATAGTGTTCCTTATATGCAAGTTATATGATGGCTTCTCTCTGAAGAATTTAGACAGAACTGGGTGTGGAAAACCCATTCTTGAAGAGGAATTTAGACAGCCATTTTTGAGAAGAAATAGGAACTGTACAGGCTACCAGTCTTTTTGAAATTCTACAGAACCTAACCTCAACTCCCTTACTTCCATAGCTGAGTTAACAACCACACTAAAAAATAGGAAACAAAACATATCTGAACCAAGGGACTCTAGTAAGGATTTACAGAACTTCCTTAAAATTAAGTTAAGGTTACATAGTAGAGCCATATACTTGATCTAAGCCAGATATTAACTATGACCTCAAGGAACTTAATCAGGGGGGCTGAAGACCAAAAAAAATACTATTACATTGCTTTTAAAATGTTTTATGGCAAAAGCCTGAACCCTGAGGGTATTTTCAACTAAATTCCTGTATAATTCTTTATGGAGGAAATCAACTATGTCAACAGCAGAACAGATGAGTTTTCAAAACCTTTTTCTTTAGGTCCTTCTTCTCACAAGCCCATCTGACAGAGTGAAAGGTTGTGGACTAATGTCCTGGGGAGGGCTTTGTTTCTTGGTGGAGGTAAACAGATGCACCTGAAGATCTGTAACTCAGAAAAGGCTAATGGGGAGGTGATGGGCCACTGTTGAAGCTGACTTTCAGTACTTCCCAGCAGGGAAGCAAGATGCCAGCTTCTTTGAAAGAAGCAGTTACTACAACCTTGCTCCAAATAAATAAAGAAAAAACTCTTGATGCTGACAAATTGTTCAGTTATTGCCCTGTTGCAATATTCAGAGTGTTCAGATTTCCTCGATTCCAGTCAACTTGTTTTTTGGACTGGATGTAGCATGGAAACTTCATTGATCTTGCTGGTTGATAATCTCGGTATCCAGGCTCACTCTCTTAGGTCTGTCAGCTATCTTCTTGACCTTTGACCACGGGGTACTATTCATACAACTGTGGACTCTAACTGGGGTAGATGGAGTGACTACAGGCACAATCCACAAAGGTAATTAGGCACCTATGTCCCTTTGGTAGGCATCTAAGTCACATTTTTAGGCACTACTAAACTGCCATTTAATTGCTTTCTAACCCTGTAGGGGCCTAAACTCACTCAGCACTGACATTTTTGCCTCTTGTGTATGCGCTCTGCAGCTTTACTCCAGGTATCTGGGCACCTATCTTCTGTGTAAGGCCCTGAGCGATTCACAAACTGGGAAAGATAGCCGTTTGGCCACATAAGCTGTGTGCAGGTGCCTGATCTGGTAGGTATGCTGAGAGGCCACCTACCAGATCAGGCCCCTCAGGCAAGTTCACTCCAAACTCCCCCTTTCTACTGTTAGCCTAGTGGATAGGGTACTCACCTGTGATGTGGGAGTCCCTCTTCCTCCTGAGGGGAAGAAAGGATTTGAACAGGGATCTGCTACCTCTCATGTGAGTGCCCTAATCACTAGACTATAGAGGCATTCAATCTCTTTCACTGGCCCAATTAAGACATCATTATTAAATTATGTAAATTAAAGTGGCACAACTTCAATAGGAGAAATTGAGGACATGCCACATTAGAGTATTTCACAGCTTAGTGGTTAGGACACTTACCTGAGCCCTGGCAGATCCCTAATTAAATCCCTTCTCCTCATCAGGAAGAGGGGGGCGTGAACCAAGGGGGCTCCCACATCCTGGGGAGTACCCTATCAACTAAGCTGAAGGTTATAACAGAGGCTGGATGTTTTGTTTCAGACTGACCCGTGACTTAGGCAGCTGAATACGTATCTTCCCCCAGTTGCTGGATCACAAGTGATATGGGTGCTTCCCTGCAACCCAGATTTAGGTGCCTGTCTCTGTGAGAGGGGCAGCGCTTAGCACACAGTCCTCTAGTCAGTATGTCCCATTGGGTAACTGAGGCGGCTCCCGACCTCCCATGCTGGTTTTGTGGCTCACATTCTAAGGCATCTATCTCTCCCTATTAATTATATAGGGATCCCAGGTCCCTAACTCAGGCTTTGTGGATTGCAGTGTTGTTCCTGTGATTTTCTAGGCACCACAGCACTCAGTGTCACAATGCCTAAATCCCTTTGAGGATCCCACCCTACTTTTCTTCAAAGAGATGACAAAATAGTTTTAAATAATTGCTTATCTGCCCCTATGTGCTCTGTTACGGAAGATTCCACAAGATTTTGGTCTTTTGTCACCCAAATTCCTTATACAAGTTTGCAAAAGATAAGCTATTGTATAGTAAATTGTCACAACTGAGTAGGCTTCATATTATTAGACGGATTCTATAATCTGTGTCCTTGACTCGATACTAGCTAGTTTGTTAGCGGATTTTCATCATAGAATGATGTAATGAGTTGTGGGATCTATAAAATGTAGTTGTTCAAATTAAATTAAAATAGTAGTCTCACCTCAGTTTATTCTTTCCGGACCGTCTTTGGCTGCCCATATACAGCAAGAAAGTCACATTTAGAGCCACTGTAGTTGATGGCAGAAGGAGCTTGTGAAAGCAACGTTAACTTCTTGTAGCAATCTGAGTGATGAAGCTTGATGGTAGCTAAGTACATTTTATATTTCTTTTTTATTCCATCATTAACAAAGTGGCAGTGAGTTTGTGAACTCTGCCAAGCAAGCCTAAGGGAGTTGGTTTTTTACAAAGTTTGAAACTCAATGGTTTGCTTTAGCTCCACTAATGAGATACAAAACCACCTACACTGACGGAGGAAAAAGTATTTCCTAAATGAAATTAGTACACCAGTTGTTGCCTGCTGTTTTTATTTGTCTTTGAAAGTGCCGACTACTGGATTAGTTTTCATAGTTTGTGTGTTTCCAGAATGGACTTTTGTACTCCACATTTCTATGTCTAGGAAGTATTTAGTGAGAAGGATGATATTTTGAACTCTGATTTTACGGCATTTCCTCTTATTTGCTTTGTATGTTCAGCAGAGGTTGTCTTTAGTTCCTACGTATATTTGCTGGAGACAAGGAGTTTCTTTTTCTTGTAAATTATGACTTTATAACATGTGCCATTTATGACAAAGGGAGTAACCATTCTTCTCCAAAGATGCTCTAAGTCTGTGGTCAAAATTGTGCACTTGAGTTATTTTATGACGTTCTGTGCTGTGTCATGATCTGAGTGGTACACTGAAATGTAGATATTTGTCCATGTTTTAGGTTTGTTTTTTTTTTAAGATTTTTCGTAACATGCCTTCACGAGCTTCCTCCTGCTCATTATTTAAAGCATGGAAGATCATCCATCTTGTTCTGTTTTGGCTGTGAAATGAATAGATGGTTTTAAGCTATGAACAAAACATCAACATCTTGTTTTTTAGGGATGACTTGGATGTGGGCTATATAGTGTTTCCAGCATTTAGAAAGTGAGACTGTAATAAAACCTGTGATTCATGAATTCACAATTCATACTTTTCAGAGAGAAAATCTGAACATTTTTGAAAATCAAGATCATGCATATTGTGTATTACACTGAAAGTTGTTACAAAAGCTAATGTATGAACTACTATGGGTTAATTTGCCTGTTTAATCTTTATATATAAAGGGTCAAATGATGGCTGCCCAGCGTAGGTGCATTCAAGGGGAGAGAATAGCAGGAAGCTTCTGCTCTCAGCACACCCATACACAAGGCAGATAACTTATTTGGGGACCTCGGCTCACAATCTGAAGAACAATTTAGCAATATTTTTAGCCTAACCTCCCATAACCAGGTTTCACAAAAAGACTGAACTTATCCCATTAGTCAGCTTAGTAACAAGATTGCTAACTTGTGTCTTGCATATTTCAAGAAAATAAGAGAAACCTCAAAGAATATTAAAAATAGTAAGTTATAAAATGGAAAAGGACATAAATGAATCTTCCAGTGTACCACACATCATTGCAGAATTTGCCATACTCAATGGAGTTACTCTGAATTTAAACTGATGTAACTAAGGTCAGAATCTGGCCCCTAACATACTGAAGTAATTGGAATTATATTGGAGTACAGCTGGAGAGAGAGAAGAATCAAGCCCACAATATTTACTGACATTAATGTACTGTGTAAATGAACTGTGGCTTCAGTTAAACTGTATTAACTACTATGTAAATAATTATAAAGCACCATCTCTAATACTAAGAATCCTGATCCGGCATAACTAAAATAAAGATTGATATTTAAACCCCTACCAAAAATGAAATAAACTGCCAAACAGTTGCAGAACTGTTCCCCCCCCCCGCCCCCAATCTATCATGTGGAAACATTTTGGTACACTGGAGATCCCAACTATGAAAATTCACATCAGAAAATGCCTGAGGGAACTCAAGTATTAATCTTTATAGGGAATCATTAAATCTACCAAAAACAGACAAGCTGGAAACAATTATACAAGTAAAGAACAAAATTAATTAATAACTCCTCAGTTCCCAAACCCATTGGTTTAAAATGTAAACACAAGTGGTAGGTATATTACTGTAGCCACCACAACACAACACATAAAATCTCCCAAGGTTTAGGCAGGCCCATACCAGAGATGTGTCCAGATCACACAGTTCATATCCAGGTTCAGATCTGAATCTGAACTTATTTAGGGGTGTTTGGATCCAGGGTTCTGGTTCAGGATGAAAACAGAAATAGGTTGAGCTGTGAAGCTGGAATTTCCCTAATATTTGGGAAGTTTTGGATTTATGTTTCTGGTTCAGACTTATCTCTAATATATGGATTTAAAAGACAAAATGTTTGATAAAATTATGGAGAAGTTTCATGTAGACATTTTAATGTTATGTTAAGGATAACAGGATCAGGGACCAATCGCATTCCATCTTTATGCTGTACATCTGCTACGTTTTTCTGTTTTGCTCTAACCGCTTGAGGAGATATTCTGCATTACTGTGGTCTGTTTTAGTCTAGCGAAGAAAAAACTGTCCAACTATCTTGAACATAATGGAAAAAGAAAACAAAATGCATGGGTAGATTTTAGAAATGCATTCACTTTTTTTTCCTTTGGCTATATTAAACCATTTTAGTCAAAGGCGTAGAAGAATGGTTTATAAAAAACACAGCTCAGATTACAGCAGAAAAGGATATGGTAGCTTGCAAATTTCAGTACGATTCATCTTGTAAGTCAAAGAGCTTGAGACACCATCAGTGATTTCATGCATCTTAAGATAATGTGAGACCAGAGGACTTCGACCACCGATTCTGAAGAGTACACGCTGGAAGTCAGGACCTGAGCCAATATAACAGGACTGTACAGAGTGGATAAAGGTCAGCTAAGCATATTATTTTAAGACTAATTTTCTTGCAAATATAATAATATGGCAAAATGGAATTTTGGATATACATATTACCAAATAGCCCTGATGAGAAATGAAAAAACCCACAATTATAAAAATTCTGAATTATAAAAAAGTTAATATGCTACATATTGTGAACCCAGGATAACCAGATACTATTATTTCTATAGAAGACTGGGGGTGGTTATCTGTGCTGAAACATGGGAATGCACTTGTGTTTCTTGTCAGTATTATAGGAGACTATCATGTCTTTACTTAAAATAGTAGAACTCCCATAGACTTCAATCACAGCAAGATCAAGTCCTTTGAGGGGAAATTTCCCCTGAGACACATGAAGAACAGCTGCCAGTAAACTCCAGCTCATTTTAATTATATTTTATATCAATGCAATATATTAGGAATATTAAATTTAAACCAATATGAATATGTTGTGGTGCAAGTGATTACTGAACTTCATTTCAAACTATATTGCACAATATTCATGCTTATTATGGGAGATCACAATCTGCCTATTGTTAATGTTAATGTAGAGCTGAGATACTCATGTACTAAGGTGAGTAGGAACTTTATAAATGGAGAGGAAGAGGGATGAACAAAAAGATTAGACGGAAGTGGAATAAACCTGGGTATTGGGACATGACTGCAAAAGGAAATGACTGACATGAACACAACTTTAAATTGTTTAAATAGATTAATATTAGGTGTAACTTGTAACAATACTAGGTAAAAATTGCACTTTTGTCTGATTTTATTTTTAAGAAGATGCTATCATTTAAACTATCTGAAAGGGATTAAAGAAAAAAATTTTCCTGGAATTTGAGGCCAGATCCACAGCTGGTACAATTCAGCATGACTTCCCTGGTGCTATGATGAATTACACCAGCTAAGGATTTGACCCTATATGTAAACACACTTTTTTTAAACCACATTACTAATAATACCATAATTAAAAGTAAAAAAACATTAAAATCCAATTTACTTGATATGATTTATCTCCTTTCTTTTTTCAGTATTTTTCTCAGCTTGGAGAATGAAGCTAGTTTTGCTTTTATTTATAATCACTTTCACTTTTAGGTTCTCAGCGCTGCAATGTAATGGTTTCAGACACTGCAGAGATGTCTATTTCTTTTAAAACATCTGTTCTCACTGGGATATTTTTTAATTGTGGGAAATTTATTTAATTTTGTGCCAAATGTATGTTGAAAGTGTCTCTTTGATTTTGTAGGCCAAATATAAAGCTATGCAAAAGATTACAAATCTGGCATAATACTGAGTAGGAAAATACAGTAGTTATTTTCCAAGACATGACAGGGACTGAAATATTACTTGTTACAATTGTAATATGTTCATGTTTTTCCTTTCCCTCTATTCGTCCACTGAAATTCTGTGTCAATAGCAACATTATTTTTCAAGTTTCAATTTTTAAAGCATGTGTTTTTTTAAAAAAATGCATCTGTAGATAGGAAAATTAATTCAAGAGATTACACTGGTGAAAAGTCAAGGTGTTTTTTTGTTTTGTTTTGTTTTTTAATTAAAATTTTGTGTCTAAATCCAGAGAAAATAAATTAATCTTTGCTATGATCTAGACTGATTCCTGGAAAGAGTTGATGTGCATCAGCAATGTATGTTCCATTTATGTTCTTGCTTCATTAAGGGATTTGGCCACTGCAGAGGCTGGAAAAGTGCCACTTCTATACTGCTTCCCAGGGTGACCGGAAGATACAGATATGCAAGAGACAGTCAGAAAGACAAATTATTTTCAGGAATATTGAGAGCATATGGAAATAAAACTGAAGTCAGGATTAAGAGACTGACATTCAGAGTGTAAAATCACATTTAATCCTAAAAACAGCATTCTCATGCATCAACTATACCTTCATAGGAGTCCTTTTATGGATGGTAAGTAACTTCTGTTGTTTTATTTACTGCTTAACTTGAAGTTGTCTTTGTGACAGAGAGGGAACAGAGAGATTAGTTACCTAGACAAAAGGTTGGTTATATATTGTTGACACTCAGAACCATATTTTATGTAAGTGATTTGACTGTAGTGTAAGGGCCAGATTCTGATCTGTTATGCCAACACAAATCTAGCATATTTCTATTTCACTGAAGTTGTTCTGGATTTAACCAGTTTAATCTGGTCCTAGGTCTATGTTTATGCAGTGTGTATATTTATGAAACAATATGCAGGGAGGTGTTTCACAGGTAAACTGATTTTTCACAAGCATCTTTTTCCTGCAGAGAGAGTAGTAAGAAGTGCCCCTACCCCATCCACACAGAACCAGATCAGAGCATGACAGCCTCTACTTTTTTGGTAATTTCAATTGTATCAGCTGCGCTTGATAGCATTTTGAGGTACTCCCAGTGTATTTGGTCCATGCTGCCAGCATTTCACCCAATAAAATCTAAGCTTATGTTTAAAAATTTCTACTTTAGGTATAAATAGCAAAAAAGGATGGGGGGAGGGTGTTTCATGAAAAAGGAGCTTGAATTTATTATGATTTTCATCATTACGGTATTAATTAAAAATGTTCTGAGATGAAACTGAAAACTTAAAACACAAAATTAACTTGCTCCAGACTGGTCATGCTGGGAGTTACAGCATTTTGTTTACCAGAGACAGAAATGCAGGCCAACAAGCTCCTTTGTGGCAAGGAGGAGGGAGGCGGCTTCTGGCAAAGCAGTGTTGCCTGAAAAATGTGGGGTTACCCACAACCTCTTAGGCTTGTCTGTCATGTCCAGCTCATGTTGCTTGATGCTTCAAATGGCTACAAATGTGGCTGCTGATAGTGACCTGTAGCAGTTCAGTCTGGGCTGGTCCTACTCTAAAGCAGACAGTTAGAGTTGATAATGGAATGGAAGCTGGCCGCTTGAATACCACCCTGGAAGAGGTTAGGTTTTTCTCTGAAATATCTTGCAACCGGGATCGGATAAGAATGTGCAGCTTAGACAGGGTGAGCAAATGGGAAAAGTAATTTTCTCTCACATATTTTGGGATTTGGCCCAGTAAAATTGAGTTTAAATAATACCATATGATATATTCAGTGGCTATTGATATTTCATATTTTAACCACCTGTTAAATATACTGTTATTTAATGTTTTAAAAAACATTGTTTTAGTCTATAACTGCCTCTGTTTTTTAAATGAGTATCTCCTTGAGTTATTCTTATTTTACATGTATATCACAGGAAAATATGACATTCTGATTCAGATGTTGCTTACACTAGTTTTAAACTGGTATAAGTCCATTGACCTAAATGGAATTACTCCTGATAGCTCTGTGTATTTATTCATTCATTCAACTCCTTACCCATCTAACAGAGGACAAATTGAATAGAGTATTTTCAATATTTGGCTGGCCAGAAAATTATGCTTGTACCTCTTGGATTCTGACATTGCCTTAGTGATCCATGCATTTGTCATCTTCAGAAATGGACTATTACGATGCACTCTACTTTGGTACTCTAAGTCTTCCCAGAAACTATGGTTCACTTCAAAATACTTGTTCTCTTCCTTACAGTGCTGAATTAATGAAAGCCTGATTATCTGAAAAAACACTCCTTACTCCATTCCCTACTGCAACAGCTGCAATTGACAGGGATGTTACAACTGAGGCACCCAAGGTTCAAACCTGCAGTGTCAGTAGGTAGGATATTTTCAAGGGGAGGCACTCAGTTATGGAATTCACTACTCCCCCCAAAGATCAGGTTGAATCTGAATTACCATACTTTCAGGGTATGATGCAGGATTCATCTTTCTGCAGGCAGTGTTCTAATCACAGAGTTTGGAATGACCTTGTCTGAATACTCAGGACCAACCCCCCACAGGTATTCTTCATCTACCCAACTTTATTAGTGAGGGGGAAGAGGTCAAGAACTGCTTTCTCATTGGTACCTACTATTAAATGCCTGTATTGCAAATTCCTAGATGCTATGCTGATTGAGGCCTCAGAAATGTGTATTACAACAATAGCAGCCAACTTATTCGAACTTGGGTACCTAAAGTTAGGCATCTAAAGGGACTTGTAGCCATCTGATCAAAGGGACTGAATTTCAGAACTGCTGCTCTTCCACTGACTTCAGTTGGGATTATGGATGCTCAGCACTCCTGAAAATCAGCCCAATCATTTAGGTTTCTAAATATGGGGTTAGGTGTCTAATTTGATGTAAAAAATTTTGACCAGAGGCATTTTATACACCTTTATTTTGATCACTTATGAAACATCTCCCTAAAGTTCTGATATCCCAATTACTCTTTATTTGTGTATTTGCAATGACATAATTGATTCAGGTGAATGTCTTAACTAAGAACTTATTCCCCAGTGTCAGAAACCTAAAGTTACATAAGGCACAGGGTAAATATAATACCATTACATTAAGTTCCTAGGGGGCAAATCCTGACCTGAATCTCTTCATTTGGGTGAAAGGCCCCAAAGAAAGTAGAAGCAGTGGGGTTGTGCAGTGTACAAGATGGAGCGAAGTTCATTAGAATTATATACATCGCATTGGGAGGTGAGAGAGGGCATCCTCTGAGGGAGTGTGTTGGTGGGTATTGTAGTGGAACCACAAAGTAGACCAACTGGAAAATTCCCCCATTTAATGTGAGTGGTGTTCCCCAACTCTGACCACTGCAAGTCCTCATGCATCAAGCTTGTTTGCTTAGTTTTGGCACAGGGAGGTGGACTTGGCTACAGGAACAGATTCCAGAGGGAAAGAGGGTAGATCATCAGGACTTAAATCCTCTGTGAGAAAAGGAAGAAGGAAGAGTTAAAAGGGAAATGTTTTTCAGAAAAGCAATGAATGGAAATACAAACTACATATTGTGTATAACTTCATAATTAGTATAAAGCAAACCTCTTTTATGGTTTCTGACTCTTTTGGCATGTCCATTTTATATTTACGGTCTTTCTTCATTTCTTCAGCTGATGAAATATACATCTTTTTTGTATCTTCAGTTAGATCTTCGAAATCAAGGCCTACTTGAAATCTCACTGCTAACATACAAATACAAATCACACTTTAATACTTTTTCATATTTGCTTCTTACCAAGAAGCAACTACTTTAAACTATGCCACCTCCTTTCTTGAAAAAACGATGTGTCACCATCTCCAACATATAGTCTGTTGGGTCCACGGCATCTTGACCTGTTGTTATAGACTTTTTATTGCATACAGAGATAGTGTTGTGGGACATCATATCTGTGTCATAGGTTTTGTGGGTGATGTTTAATTCCAGTAGGATACACATCAGACCCTGGATGTAAGATTCCCAAGTCAAAATCCCATTTAAACTTCTGTGGTATATACATTCCAGACAAAATGTTCTTGACAAAATGCGGTGCAAAGAAATGTCACCACAGATGAAATATTACTTGGTGAAAGGTTGTACCACCAAGGATGTTTAATCCATTTTCTGCATCTTGAAATATTAATCTATATTATTGTGAGTACACAATAGGTACCCTGGCAAATTAGACCATATTTATTAAAAGCACTAACACTACTGCCATTATTGGAATACAGATCCTTAGCTCTACCTATTTCATAGCCTTTTGCAGCAACTAAATCTGTAACTTAGCCTTCCAACTCTTCAGACTCCTTAGAGATTTTTTTTCACACAAGGGATGATTATGGCCCATAGAAATTAAACAGGAGCATGACTACTGGTCCTAGCATTCCATGGGTTGGAGCGGTAGATAGTAAATATCCCAAGTCTTTGAGATCCCATCTCCTGCCTTCTCCACACCTCTTCCAGCCCAAAGAATTAGCTGAAGAAGAAAAATGTGGAGCAGCACAGTTTTGGTATGAATGTATTCAGCTTTGAGTACTTCGGAGCAGGAAGCGAGCAGATGGACCTATGTAGGAATTGCACCTGGCACTGCAGAGGTATGTTACACTGACAATGTGCATGTGCAGACACACTGTGTGCGTAAAACTCACATTTCATAAGGATATTTTTGTCAGCTGAAGTAATTTCTTTGTTGCAGTAAAACATGAAGAGCATCTGAAAATAGAGGACTAAATGGAATTGTCAGAATGATTCACTGAAGTTTTTGATCAGTCTTAAATAACCTGATAGATTTGAACTACAGTATAATCCAGGTTGCTCTAGAAGAAAAAATATAAATGCATTGTGACCTTGTGGTCCTGAACATGATGGTAAAACCAAATTTAGTAAATTAGCTTTTGTCAGGCATCCACTGAGAATCAGCTTCATCTCAGCTGGGTAAATATACTTTATGACCTGTGGTGAAGGCAAACACAGATGCGCACAGGCGAGGAAAACAAAAGTCTTGGACCAAGGGTGAATAAAACTTTACATTTGTGCATTACAGGAAATCCACTGAAGAAAACAAATTACAACTAACCACTAGAATGCCTCACTTGCCTTAAAGAAATACAAACCAATCTGCAATGAGAGAAAATGTCCTCAATTAGAACAACCGCAATATGAAGAACTATATTTGGGAAAAAGTCTCTCTGTACTTGACAGCAACTGAGCTCACAAAACAGATGGACTGCAGAAAAAAAATGCTGTTATAGAAATTGAATGAAAGTTAACTTGAGATAACCTCTTTGAGATCAAATGCTTGAAGGCAAAAGTCTCTGAACAAAAAGCTTTGCCTGAAAAGACAGCTATTCCATGGCTTTTACAACACACACTCTTGAAAATAGATCTACAATTTTCTAACTCAACTTGAAAGAATATTTGCTGTTGCACATTTATGTTTCCGCTGAAATACTAATGTCCTACAATTACGCTGATCATAAAAGATTGGACCAGCTGTAATAATGAGCATATTTGTTTAAGTTTCTTATCTTAATTTTTTGTTATTTTGACTAATTATGATAACTGGTGCCTCTTTTTAAAATGAATGATTACATTAGTTTAGAAAGGATACATATGTATATATGCCCAGTTACATAAGCCCCAAATATCTAGACAGCATTTTGTTTAATGGATAATAGGATTTTCATCTCTTCAGCACTTCTCAGGATACAGCCCTTATTGAACCTTATAATTCTTGAACAAAGAGGTAAATTCAAAGATTACATCATTTCAACATTTATGGATTAAAAATCCTCTAACATTCATCCAAAATCCACTGGAGGTTCTTGGATTTTAGCAGGCTACATTAGATTGTTTATTAGCAAATATGGGCTTATGCAATGAAGGTAGGAAGAAATAAAAAAGGAAAAAGCAGCCAGATGTTTGAGAAAGGATAAAGTTGTATTAAAGGGGAGAATGAATAGAGAAAAAGGCCAGAACAGCAAACATACTGAAGAGGAAGAGGGAAAAATGGAGAGAAAGAAAATCAAACAGATTAAAAAGACAGATTTACTAAATAGAAGGGAGAAGAAAACTGTATAGGAAAAGTATACAGCAGAAGAGAGATAGACATTAAAACTGAGGAACAGACAGATACTTAAGTATGAGGAAATTAATTCAAGAAGAAACAAAGATAAGAAACAAGAGACATCAGGAGGGCAATTAGTTTTACTTTTACTGAAATACTGTACAAAAAAAAAAAAGATAAAAACACCTTTGACTCCCTCCTCAAACCCTCCCGTTCCCCATGTCTCTCTCTGCAGAGAATCTTGCCAATTTCTTCCAAGTGACTTAACAAAATACATCATGAAATCTCCCCTCCTCCTCCTCCCATATCACAGATGTAGATGTTTCTTGTCTGCTCTTCTCTTCCACTTGTCCCATCCCATTTACTCAGTCTCAGCCCCTCCCTTGACCTTAACCTCTTACTCGCCTCTGATTCTTTCCCCTCACAATATAAACATATTTAGTCACTCCCATCATAACAGCTATACCCATCTCACCTTTAAACTCATTGAACATGCAGTTACAATTGCTGTCTGGAGTTCATCTCCTCCATTTCATCTTAGACCCTCTCGAATTCGGCTTCAACACCTTGAACTCCACTGAAACTGCTATTGCCAAAAATCTCTAATGACCTCTTCCTAACCAAAGCTTAGAACCAGTACTCCATTCTCATTTGTTTTGATGTGGCAGCTACCTTCAACACCATAATCTATACTCCTCTTCTTGAAATCTTGTCCTCCCTTGGCTTCTGTGACTGTCCTCTCCTGGTTTCTCTTCCTACCTTTCTAATTGTTCCTTCAGATCATCCTCCTCATCCCCCTCCAGCTTTCTGTGGAGCTCAGTTCTTAGTCCACTTCTCTTTTCCCTCTACTACTTATCTTTGCGTAATCTCATCCGTAAACTCAAATTCAACTACGTCTATGCTAACAACTCACAGATCTCCCTCTCTCCTCCAGACCTGTCCCCTTCTTTCCAAACTAAAAACGTGGCCTGTCCCCTCATGAATATCTAGTCATCATTTCAAGCTTGCCATGACAAAAACATAGCTCTTACATCCCCTCCCTCAACCTTCCCCAGTACCTCCTTTCTTGATCACTGTGGACAATCTCATCATGCTTCCTAACACTCAGGTCTGAGTCAGACCTCTCTCTAGGTCCTCACATCCAGGCTACGTTTAAAATCTACAGAGTCTTTTACAGAACATCTGTAAGATATGGCCTTTCCTATTCATCCGCGTAGCTAAAAAACTCTCATCATCTCACATCTCACTTACAGCAACATCCTTTCCTCTGGTCTTGACCAACACAATAGTGGTCAGCTCATATCCATTCAGAATGCTGCCGCAAAGATCTCTTCCTAGCCCATCATTTTGACCATGTCATCCCCCTCTTCATCTCTCTACTGGCTTCCCTTCTATGACATCAAACATAAGCTACTTCAAGGCCCTTTACAATTTATTCCCACTCTGCCTATCACCTCTCATTCACTAATAAGATGTCATCTCCTGCCTCTGATTGACCCATGATGCCAGCTTCCATTAACCAATTGTTAAAATTTCAAAAGGACCTTCATGCTTTTTCCCATGCTGTCCCCTTATGTTTGGGAGCAGCTCCTCCATAAACATTTGCAAAACTGATGCATTATCCCCCTTCAAAATTCTACTCAAAACCTCTCATTTTCCATGATATCCACAGAAATCTTGATAATTGTTAGGCCACTGGTGTGCTGAGATCACAGCCTATCACGCTGACTAATATTGCCTTGTTGTTTCCTTGTACTCTGCCATCTGTCTGTATCCATTTGTCATCTCTTGTCTTATACTTAGCTAGTAAGCTCTTTGGGACAGCGACTGGTTTTTTTGTTGTGTCTTTGTACAGTGCCTAGCTGTCCTGGTCCATGACTAGGGCTCTTAGGCACTACAATAATACAAATAATAAATAATAATCAGCTATACAAAATTAAATATAAAAAGGGTTTTAAATCTAGACCCTCTAACCCCTTAGCTGTCTTGTCACTCTTTTCTCTATTTTAGGAATGTTGACAGACACAGCCAAAATCAAACACAGGTTACAGCTTACTCCTTTAGTGTAGAAGCCCATCATGCTTCTTCCTGGCCCATTAACTTCCACAGCAAAAGAGCTTCAGCTCTATAGCAACCATTTACAAAATAGTCCAGACACTGCTGTACCACCTAACTACTATTCCTCTCTAAAAAGTGGCTCTTGCGCTTTCCCTTTTTCTTCTTTTCCAGATGCCATGTGTGCAAAGGACATAGAATATGCCTGTATTATTTTATGAATATTACATGTATAAGTGTTAGTTTGATTGTTATTCTACTGGCTGCTATATAGTGACGAAGAATGAATTCAGCCACAAGATGAGCAGTAGAGCTGGGTCAGAAATTTTCTGAAGGAAAAAGCAGATTCTTTGAAAGCAATTTTTTTTTGTGACTAATCTTCCAAAGGAACCTGTCAGGCAGGTTTCAAAATTTACCCATCAAGCACACAGTGGAAACCTGCCTGCCCAGCTCCTTAGCAGCCTGCCTGTAGAACTGCCTAGGAATTGAGACCCCAGAGTTCCTAGGGACTGTGGATCTGGGGTCTGCCCAATGGCCAGGATCCCCAGGGCTTACGGACTACCAGGCCAGCTGATTCCCAGAGCTGCCCAACTCTTAAGCTGGGGACCTAGTTGCTAGGCAGTGCTGGAAGCCCTGTCTCTAGATCCAGCTCTTAAGGTTTAGACTCCTGGCTCTGTGGCAGGGAGCCTGGAAGCCCTGAGAGCTCACTTGAGCCGGGACTCACAGGGTATCCAGACTCCTGGCTCCTGAAATCCTGGGACAGGTTTTCAGGGTTCACAGCTCATAGTCAATCCTGCCATGTGGACTGACCCAGGGCCAGAGACCCCAGGGCTTCCAGACTCCTGGGCCAGCTGGCTCATTGGGCTGCCTGACTCCTCCAGCTTTTGGAGCGAGCTGCCCCAGTAGTCAGGGAGCCCTATTAAACAGGAACAAGGCACTCTTATTCCAGAATAGAAAAAATGTCTACACATGGTGTTAATCAGGAATAATCAGGAATAATTCCATGTGTAGACAAAGCCTAATTCTGACATGTTTATCAGCAGAATTGTTAATTAAATTCTTATTGCAGATCATTTGATGACAAAGGGGTTGACAGATGCAACTGAGGACAGAATTTAGCCCACAGAACGTTTTATTGCTGGCTCCTGAAGCAGCAGTAGCATTAGCACAGCTTGATTTTTAGATCAAGTTGAGTTTTCAGGGGAAGCAGTTAGAAAAAGTTTACTTGCAAACTGAGGAAAGTTGATCTGGAAGTCATTAAGAGATAATAATTATAGACACCCCCACGATGCCATCGTTACAGTCACTTGTCAGTGTAGAGCTGTAGTTTTACAACAAGTCGTTCTGCAAAGAAGGGTCTTGCAGGCTCTCTTATTTGATTACTCTTATTCCTGAGGACTTAGCACTTTCCTCTTCAACAGGACTCATTTCCTAACAAGGATGATAGAAGTGGAGTGAAGTGGAAAAACGAAGAAGAAGAAAAGCAATAGAGACATATAGTAGTAAGTTACAACTTTTCAAATATATTATATGGATTCTTTGATGCAAAATTTGTTATGATAAAACAAAGACATAAACCACTATAAACATTTGCTGCATTTAATGCAGATAATGTGTGGAGATTATCACAGTAACTATTTGATTTTGTTGCATTATCCCACATTTTTAATTTATAGTATCTGAAAGTTGAGGGAAGGTGGGGAGAAAGGGAGGAATCAGATGGGGCAAAATACACAGAGTAAATATCCTTAAATCAAACTCTAATAATTTCTCAAGAAGCATTTTCTTACTTTGCCTATCTGTAAATGTAGACTATCATCAATGCAAAATATTTTTCAGTTTGTGCATGTATGGTGAAATTGACATTTAGTGACATGTACAGATACAAATCTAATCCTTCCAAGCCTATTTATCAGACATGCATATAGGAGTTTTTGTTCTGCCATGTAATTACATTTATTGATACAATCTTATATGTACTTAACATTCTTATCACAATAGTGAAGAGTACAGTATCTATTATCTGGGTTTAAAGGAATTCTGAATCTTGTCATGTTAATTTTGAAATACCTGAAATTTATTAAGCCTTAATGCTGCCATTAGCGGTTTTATAGGATTACTACAATTATTTCAAACTTTTTCCACCTCTGTTTGTCTTCCTCATAAGGTCTGAATAATAAAAACCTTACACAAGCAAAATTCCCACTGAAGTCAACTAGTGCTTTGCTTGGATAAGGACTGTAGGATTGAACCCTTAAAACACCTTAAGCATAACAGACGAAATCCTAGCCCTATTGAAGTCAGTGAGAATTTTGTCATTGACTTCAATGAAGCCAGGATTTCACCCCTAAGTCACCTGGACCTGCTCTGTGAAGAGTTAATGACATGTTGCTTGACACACCAACAGCCCTTCTAAACTAGGGGTCCCAACATTGCTAACCCTCGTGATGTTGAACTGGAATGTGTAAATGGTGATAAGACTGAGATGTTTTTGCAAGAGTTTGTGTGTCTCTTGAGAATGTAGGTGTTAAGTTTACATACACAAGTTTACTGCATGTAAAACATTTTGGTCCAGACATCAATACACAGGTACAATTTTATTTCAAAGTTACAACTTGGTTTAATTTAATTAGTTTAATTAATTCTTTTCTGCAGATATACAATCTTTAACTTCTTCCTGCTTGATTGCATCTCTGTTACTTTCAAAGTACCTTCAATCATTTTTAAAAGAAAGAAAACCCTTTGAACTTAAGAGGCAAGTCCATTAAATTGGATACACAAAGTTTTCACATAAAAGCTAATTAGAAACCACACCATAAGGTTTTCTTTAACATTTTGATGCTTTTCAAAGATTCCCTACCCTCACCCCCCATTGTGAATCTGACCAAACATCCCTTTTGGAGGAGTTTCTTTTTGCATATTAATGAATACTTCACCTGAGGGGTTCCTTGTCTATCCTGGCTAAATACAGATTTGAAAATTAAAGTTAATACAAGGTACATATATATTGACCAGACCACCCTAGCAGATACAATTCACATTGTACAGCCAGATGCCAAGTGTCACAAAGACCATTAAAGCATATATTTAATGCAGTTAAAATAATCATAGTGCTCTTGCGGGAAGTTTGTTCCATCACAAGAAAGCAATAGACTGTATGGTTAAATGGTGGAGAGGAGAATAGTGAACAACTGAGTGACATAAGTAAGAGAAGTCAAATATGGCTTTTTACTAGAGAGTTAAAATGGAATGTTGAGAATTCATCGAGGAAAAATATCCTAAAACTGTTTAGAGTGGCAAAAGCCCCTTACATCATTTAAAAGAAAAATATTGTACAACTTCATAGTTGTACAGCTTCATTGTGTCAACTGCACAATGTGGTAAAATAATCAACCACAAAGGGTATAGCTAGACACAGTGACCTACTGCCCTATGATATGCAAACAGGAAAGAGCAAAATAGTGAATTATTTAAGATGATCTTCTACAGGAAAAAAGAAAATTAAATTTTGCCATGGTGGATTCAATATCAATGCATTACAAACCTATCAGATCAACTAAACAAGATGCATAACTCTCAAAATGCAGAAGTAGATAGATAAGATAGCTAGAAAAAGTAGGCTCTCAGTTTAGAAAATATTAGAAAAGCAGATTGTAGTAATTTTCACTGTAATAGCAATAGAAATCCTATAGAGGAAATACCTGAGAAGGTACAGGCAACATGAGTAAGAGTAAAGTATTAGCCCCCAAATAAGAATCTAAAAATAAAATAATAAATATCAGCCCATTTCCTAAACAAAATTTTCAAAAAAATTCTAAGCAGCTTTGGAGCCCTTTAACCTCCCTTTTTGCATAAATACATCTGCTTCCTGTAGGTTTTGAAAAACAAATGACTTACTTCCAAAGCCAGCCCAGCAAACTCAACCAAGGACTTGAAAGTCAAGATGTATTTTTCTAGCTCTTACGTGATGACCAGTAATAAAGATTTTATATGCTTGTCTCAGTGTACCCTGTACAACCACCAATGTCTTCAGTTTAGACTCTGAGTTACACCTTTTCTACCCTATTGCCGTCCATACATGTAAATACATCATTTGCAAACTATGGAGTCATGCAGGGTCCTGCTAATGGAATTTGGATAATAAACTCTGCTGATTATGCATTGGCCACCAAATCATCCAATTTGCTCCCCCAGAGCTGTTTGCATTCCAAAAGCTTGGCGTTAGTAAAAAAATTTTTGGTCATTAAAATAAATAGATCTGACTCTGAACACAAAAAGAAAACAGATGTGTTAAGTAGGAAGGTTCAATTTCTAACCAGACACATTTCAGAATGAGATACACGTCAAAAAGAAAGCATCAACAGACTTGTTACCCCACAGAAGACAGAGTTCACCATGACCACCTGCTTGGTAGCTTAGATGTCAATGGAAATAAAAACTGCTGGCACAAGAGAGTTAGGGTTAGGAGGAAAGGTAAATTCAGTACTGAAGAGGTTAAATGCAAGTTGGTGGCTACATATCCAAGAGGAGATATCAGAAAAGTGGCTGGAAATTCAAGAATGGATAGAGGAGGAGTGGTCAGAACTCATCCATTTTTGAGAATCTCTGTCATTAACGTGGTACTGCAGGCATGGAAGAGGTTATCGAAAGATTAAAGAGAAAGCATGAAGAACATATGTGCTTATTTCTTTGAATGTATAAAAACCTGTAGGTGTTAATCTGAAATTCTAGGTGCCTATCCCATAAAATTAAATCTCCCCAGAATTCTATAAATAAAAGAGGATAGTTCATGAATATAACCCACTGCAGCCCCCAGCCGACTCCCCTTCTCAATAGCTTGAGAAAATAGATGGCCTTTGCAGCATGCCCATAATGTTAAAGCTAGGCTGTGGCTAAACAAGGGCAGGAGTTTGGAGTTCAGAAGTCTAGGATCTCTTACAGAAAAATCCCTACCAGCTCCCTCTCAGTTATAATAAAGGCCCGTCCAGTGCAAGTGTCTCTGCTAATTTCATTGTGGCAATAGATAACGGAGGGCTGTGATCTCAAGGAAAACCATATCCCATGTCATCTGTGGATGGAAGACTTTTAAAAGATACACTGAACATGTCTATAGCACGTAAAAATAAATAGGGGACCACTAAGCCGTGGAAGCCAAAAGAATGAATGGATTTAAATCCCAAGCCCTACGTCTGCTGTGCTACTTTGTGAAAAACAAAAAGGAATCTGGACAGTTCCCAATTACAGCATTAGCAGCCTTCAAAGTCCCTCTTACAACACATAATGTCTCATTCTGCACTGGTAAGGATTCATGTACAATAACAAATTTGGGGACCAGATGGTTTTTTTTCCCCCTAGATGTCTCCTGGCACAAATCAATCTTCATTCTTCCTGCCAATTCAATATCCCCAGACTATTGCACAAGAACCACTTCCAGCTTTCTGGATTAAATATTCTCAGGTTCTCACAGTGATTCTCAGATTCCTAATACTAGTTTTGTTTCGGCCATCCATTTTATTTTGCACTGTGTTTTTTTCTTGAGCAATGAGTTAAACATATTCACAGTATCTAGTGCAAGATGGTTGGAGATCAGCTGTTTTGCCCATTGTCCCTTTTAATGACTGGGGGAAAAGTCATCAAATATACAGCAGACGCAAAATCTTGCAATAAATCTCATCTGTCTTTCAAAGAAGCCCTCCTCCAGAATGAGATAGTTCTTACAGCAGTTGCAGCTCAAAAGCATCTCACATTTGAGTTCAATCTTAAGTGACACCTGAGATTCATTCTAGGCCATTTTCAGTACCTGGCAACTTAACTTCTGCCTTTTTTTGCCCCTCAGCAGGGCGGTTGGGACGAAGAAAAAGCCAACAAAATGGACCAGAAGAGCAGAGCAACTCAGGTCCATATCTGTTTTCCAGGGCTCACATATACATGTCCCCTGCTGCACCCTTCCTTAACTCAGTATGCTAATTTTGCATCTAATTGATTGTAACATTCATAATTTTGTCTAGGAAAGTTAAAGAATAAATTGCAGATACATGCACTACATCAATTTCGTAAATAGAGACGTCATCTTACGGTGAAGCAAACACCTCCCTGTGGGATTTGCATAGAATTCAATGCACTTCTTTATGAATTTCAGTATCAGTTGAATAGTAGAACTCACAATGTCCTTGCTGAAGGGAACTGTCAAACCGTAACCTAAAAAGGAGTACTTGTGGTACCTTAGAGACTAACCAATTTATTTGAGCATAAGCTTTCGTGAGCTACAGCTCACTTCATCGGATGCATACTGTGGAAAGTACAGAAGATCTTTTTATACACACAAACCATGAAAAAATGGGTGTTCACCACTACAAAAGGTTTTCTCTCCCCACACCCCACTCTCCTGCTGGTAATAGCTTATCTAAAGTGATCACTCTCCTTACAATGTGTATGATAATCAAGGTGGGCCATCTCCAGCACAAATCCAGGGTTTAACAAGAATGTCTGGGGGGGGGGGGAAATAGGAAAAAACAAGGGGAAATAGGCTTGAATAGAGACTGGGAGTAGCTAAGTCATTATGCAAGGTAACCTAAGTTAATAGTATCCAATTTGCAAATGAATTCCAATTCAACAGTTTCTCGCTGGAGTCTGGTTTTGAAGTTTTTCTGTTGTAATATCGCAACTTTCATGTCTGTAATCGCGTGACCAGAGAGATTGAAGTGTTCTCTGACTGGTTTATGAATGTTATAATTCTTGACATCTGATTTGTGTCCATTTATTCTTTTACATAGAGACTGTCCAGTTTGACCAATGTACATGGCAGAGGGGCATTGCTGGCACATGATGGCATATATCACATTGGTGGATGTGCAGGTGAACGAGCCTCTGATAGTGTGGCTGATGTTATTAGGCCCTGTGATGGTGTCCCCTGAATAGATATGCGGGCACAGTTGGCAACGGGCTTTGTTGCAAGGATAGGTTCCTGGGTTAGTGGTTCTGTTGTGTGGTATGTGGTTGCTGGTGAGTATTTGCTTCAGGTTGGGGGGCTGTCTGTAGGCGAGGACTGGCCTGTCTCCCAAGATTTGTGAGAGTGTTGGGTCATCCTTCAAGATAGGTTGTAGATCCTTAATAATGCTTTGGAGGGGTTTTAGTTGGGGGCTGAAGGTGACGGCTAGTGGCATTCTGTTCTTCCCGCTACATTGGCTGTATTGTTTCCACAGCTGCCGCCGCCATTCCTATTCAGAGAAGGATCTATTCCCTATGATGGTGCTTTTTAAACTTTTAAATGACAGATCATTTGTTTCTTAAAGGCTAGTTTCATTGTTCAAAGAAGTAATATACTGATAAAAGTCACTCCGAACTAAAAGTTCACAATGAGCTTTGAAAAGGAATTCTGCCACAAAGCAAATAAACAAAAAAACCTTCCACGAAGTCCTGTTAGACACTCAAATGAAAGGATCACGGTAGAACCAGTAAAGAGGTGGCCAGAGTCCCACAACGTTTTGTCAACCACCTGGAGGAAGGGTACCACATCACTGCATTCAAATATTTCTTTTCAGCCTCATACGACCTATCTTGTCCATTCCACTTCCCAAATGAAAGGATAAATATTGGATCAGCCCCCTGAGGACAAGAGCTTCAGATTGCTGTTTGCATGCTGAGATAAGGAGTGTGGTAGCAGATTTTAAGGCAGGGGAGCTACTGAGGTTAAACTATAAATACAAGATTTGCCAGTTCTGAATGCAAGTCAAGAAAACTGACCCTATGTAGTAACATGGAAGACCTGCTGAGTGTTATTGCCTGAGCATGCACGATAACTAACTTTTATTATAAGTAAATCTTTTGCTTGCACTTCTTTGTAGTCCTCCACCCAAGTTTAACATAGGAGTATGCACTGTGGTTAAAGAGATTTTCTTCTAGAGGAGATTTTTTTTTTTTTAAAGAATTATTTCAATTTCAGCAGTAGTTCCCTTCTCCCTCCCTCCCTTCCTCCTAGTAATTAAAGCATTCTGTTGCTTTTACAGCCATATAATGCTATGAGAATTGTCTGGCAGATCTTTAAAAAGCATGCTTTATGGGTTTTCAGTCATGGCAGCAGTCTGTGCCTTCAAAAGAATCATCACTGGTGAGATGCTGTCCAATATGTTGAACAAACTGTTAAGATTGGTGTCGGTTTAGGAAAAGTGGGTGTGGACATACCAAAAAAAAAATCTCTGCATCATATGATGCCCTCAAAACCCACTGAAAACATATGCAGCATAATTTACAGCTGACATGGGTAAGAGTGAAATGCGCTCATTACTTCTGCAGACGTGTAAGTAGCCTACAGCTGTTTGCCTTGATTGAAATACTTTCATCCCACAAGTAATATCACTAATGATCATTTGAAGCATTACTTAAAGTCTGTGGTTAGCATCCATTGCTTTGGATCAATTGCTTCTGGTGAGTGAATGATGGGGATAGGGTTTCCTTTTCTTTCAAATTGTTATAATTTCACAACACCACATGAAAGCAAAGCAATGATATAGAAATGTGCTGAAACAGCTGTGTGTTATCCCCTTAGGATATGTCACTAAAGAGAATGTTAATGAATCTGGTTGTCCCCTTCTATGCATTTTTTATATTTTATGTCAACATGGACAGGAAGACCAAGCCTAAATGTGTATTGAGACAGAATGGTATCATCCCTGGGTAGCTGAATTTTTAATGGGTCTGTGTGACCCAAAGACCCTCCTCCTGGATGACGCTCTGAAATGGAGCTCAGTCAGAGACAAGACGAACAGGCCACCCAGAAAGAATGACTGTCTCTGTTGGCCTCCAGAATATTTTTCCAGTTTTTGTAGCGCTAGGTAATAATTGGATCAGTGTTCGGCTTTCACATCTGCTGCTGGTTGAGATCTCTGACTCTAGTTTTTCCAACTGCAATCTGACATGCATTCTGAACGTTATTAATTCCCATGAGTTAGTTTCAGACTGATAGAGAAAATGATCTGGTTGTCTCTTATCTTCCAGTGTTTAATATCAGTTTTGGATAGAAACAGCTGGAAACAATATCACATTTGCTACAATAAATTTTCAGAGGAATTTGATGAAAATATTTCACATCTACAAAAAACCAACTTAGAAAAATAGTCATATAAAGCTGTCTAGATATCTAGAGAAAGAGACATGAGCAAAGGGTTACTGTGTAATCAGGTTAAAAAGGGCATAGTTAGGTATACATTGGCATCTCTTCTAAATCATATGGAAATCTAGACAGAGATGGACCCAGATTTGTTCTCACACACTGAGAAATTTTGAGAAAAATTGAGTCATCCAAAGTTTATACTCTGTGGATTAACTTTTGAGTGGAATCCTTGTGGGGTTAGAGGGTGTGTGTGCGCACATAGAGAGGATGCACTGTGTGGTATGTCCCATACTCCTTCCCTTCAGCCTACCTCCTCAGCTGCAGATCTGTATCCTGATGGAAGAGTGCCTGCAGGATCCAAAGGGGTTGATGCCACAGAAGCAGCACATTTCTAATACTGCAGCCTCCTGCCAGAGGTCTGCCAGTTTTCCTTCCCTCTTCATAATGTGGGCCAGAATGAAGACTTGAGAAGACATTTTAAATAAAAATATAGAACTGGGACTAGAACCCACAATTCTGACTTCCAGTCAACTGTTCCACTCACTTCATGTTATCCGGTACATACAGCACTACAGTCAGAACTATAATGGCTGCATAGCACACACATTTCATATGCTTTACAACTATTAAATATCACCAACCCCATAAAAGTAAAGGATAGGATAGGGAATACATTACTCACCGCTTAAATGAATGAAATCCCTGCTGCTCTGTTCATACAGAGTGCATAGTAATGGTCCATAATGGTTTGAAACAGAAGTGAAGACTATCCAAATAAAAGCGTATGGCAAATGTAGGCCCTACTGTAAATACCTGAGTAGGAATTTGACCAGAATCATTAGAGTTAACATCCCTCATCTGAGAAATTTCATGTCACTTTTTAATAACCAAAAATTGTAAGGATCTGTTTAATGTCTCCTTGAAAGCAGAGGTGTCATCCAAAGCAAGAAAATTCAATGCTAGACGTGAAAACACATCTCAATCTACTCCAGGGGATAAATATTTCATGCAACTCCTGTCACTGGGTAGTTTTGTGTACGTACTACTCTGTGGGCTTCAGCCTGCAAGCCTGCTTCACATGCAACTCCCATTTCAGTGAGAGTTGAGGACATGGAAGTTGAAACCCTGTATTTGCTGTAAAATGTAGGATATAGATTAAGTGCATTGTTTTAAACTTTACTCAGCAGTTTCTTGCTTTCCTGGTTTTAAATCAGGGATTTAGTATACAGTAAGTTATTTTGGGTTAAACTTACAACATGTCAAGAAATACTCACAACCAACCAAAAAGTTATATAAAAAGAAACATTGAAAGTGTGGGTTTATTTGTAATAGTGAATTTTAAAAATTAAGTACAACAAAAATTTCACAATTTTTCCATGCTGGCAATATTTTTCTTTTTTACAAGAAGAAACAAAATGAGTACAATCATGTGGAGATAGTAAGTATGCAAATAAGAAATTCCAGTCAGGGGGCATATGTTTTCAGATAGATCACATGGAGGATGGACAAAAAGATTATATATATATATATATATATATATCTTTCCTATAAAGGCCTATAGAACAGGATTTACATATCAGAAGATTCAATACTGCTTTGTGACTTCAGTTAGGAAGTTAATATCAGAATATTTAGAAGATCTACAGCAGTAAATTTTGGAGAAAGTTCATGGAAAAGGCCTAACTTTTGAACGGCTAATCAAGTCTGCTAACTTTTTCAGTGACAAAAAGGCAGAAGAATGGAAAGGTAACTTCTGCATGGTATAGGTATGGTTACATAAAGAAGAG